TGTGTGTGTGAGAGAGAGAGAGAGAGAGAGAGAGAGAAAGAGAGAGAGAGAAAGAGAGAGAGAATCTTTAGGCTGCCACAATTCCCAAATAACCAGAACATTTAGGGTGGGCCAGACTGAAACCAGGAGCCTGGAATACCATCCAGGTCTTCCGTGAGAAAATAGAAAATAGAAAATCTTTGATTTGAACATAAGTTGATAATGTCAAGAAGAGGTAAAAAGGGGTGCATAATAATTTATGCATATAGATACAGGATAATATTTTGTATTTTTGCATGCATTTATTTTTCCAATATTCATATTAATGTAGTTAATACAAAGAGACCATATTCAATGTAGTTCCTAGATACAATTTTAAGAATATAATGAAGCGCCAACGCTGTGGCACAGCGAGTTAAAGCCCTGGCCTGAAGTGCCAGTATCCCATATGGGCGCGGACTCTAGTTCCACCTGCTGTGCTTCCGATCCAGCTCTCTGTTATGGCCTGGGAAAGGAGTAGAAGATGACCTGATTCTTTGGAATCCTGCACCCACGTGGGAGACCCAGAAGAAGCTCATGGCTCTGGCTTCAGATCGGCACAGCTCAGGCGGTTCTCGCCATCTGGGGAGTGAACCAGTGGATAGAAGACCTCTCTCGCTCTCTTTCTCTACCTCTCTCTGTAACTTTTTTCTTTCAAATACATAAAATAAATCTTTAAAAAAAAGAATATAACAATACTTTCCATCCTAGCTCCCTCCGTCCCCATATCTTCTTTTAATTTTTGAGATAATATATTTTTAATTTACATTATACTCAAAGGCTTATATCCCACTAAATAAGGAGTTCAACAAATAAAAAGCAAAAAGACTCTAGATCAGCAGGAATATATATTTTTGAAACAAGTGAGTATCTTCCAGCATTTCAGATTTTTGTCAATATATTCAACATAGTTATTTAAGTCAAAAGTTTATAAATAACATTTATTCTTTTTTTTTTTTTTTTTGACAGGCAGAGTTACACAATGAGAGAGAGAGACAGAGAGAGAAAGGTCTTCTTTCCGTTGGTTCACCCTCCAAATGGCCACTGCGGCCGGCGTGCTACACCAATCCAAAGCCAGGAGCCAGGTGCTTCCTCCTGGTCTCCCATGTGGGTGCAGGCCCCAAGCACTTGGACCATCCTCCATTGCCTTTCCGGGCCACAGCAGAGAGCTGGACTGGAATAGGAGCAACCGGGACAGAATTCGACACCCCAACCAGAACTAGAACCCGGGTTGCCGGCACCGCAGGTGGAGGATTAGCCTAGTGAGCCATGGCACTGGCCACATTTATCTATCCTAACATTGATCTATCAGTTACGGGCAAATGTCTGGAATAGTGTTGTCTTTCTGAATCAGTTGCAGGAATGACCTTGTAGAAATTCTACTCCCATCAGCCTTATTAAATGATTCACAAACTACATTTTCTTATTAAGGTTATGTAAACTGAGACAGCAGAAAAGCAAAAACAAAAATATTTTCTAAACTTGTAAAACGTGCTCCTCAGTTGAGACAGAGAGAAAAAGGAAGAGAATGTGAAGAAGAGAGGGTGGATGGGGAGGAAGAAGAGGAGGAAAAGAAGAAAAAGAAGGTGTAAAAGAGGAGAAATAAATTAAAAAGGCTCTTGGCTTGAAGCGAGGATTCCCATCCTTGACACTGGGTATATCATCAGCTCTCAATCACAATGAACTTTGCTTAATGAATCAGATATAGGACTGAGACCTGCATTGGGATTTTGGTTAGAATTTCACTCCTGTGGCAGTAATTTTTGTAAGAAAATTCCTGAATATAAATTAATCAGTAGTTTGCATATATATATATGTGTCTATATCAGTTTAAACAGCAATTCGTTTTCTTCTCTGCAAGAACTTGGTTATTAAAAAGTTAGGAAGTTGTTGTACATATATTTTCATGTGTTAGGAAGAGTGGTGTTAATAACTTGTGACAGATTTTCCTTTTTTTCATAGTTTTTCTTTTATAATGTTTCTTGATAATATTTCCCTTACAATGTTTCTTTTATAGCCCTTGTATAATACTTCCAGGTTGACCCAATATCTCCTCACATTGTTTCACCGTTCCTACCTGGATAATTTAGAATGGAAAGTGGAAGGCAGTCCAACTGTGTAGCTTCTCAGTTAAGGATTCAGAAAGACAAATTGCATTTATAATTTTAAGGATCAAAGTGTGAAAACATAGTTTAAATGGTTTTAATGTTATTGCTAATATCAGGGGCTATAGTGAAACTAAATTGCCCCTTGTAAAGGGTTCAAACAGTCACATGTCAGGAATCTGTTTTGGGAAGGGCAGTGTGGCAGAGCATTCTATAATGTTGCTAGGAATCCCAGTTCCACTTCCTGTCCAGATCTGTGCTAATGGCTCTGGGAAAGCAGGGGAAGATGATCTAAGTCCTTGGGGGAGACCCAAGTGAAATTTCATAAGGCTGATCATTATGGGACTGGCCATTTAGGGAGTAAACCAATAGCTTGAAGATCCCTCTCTCTGCCCCCCCCTCTCTTTCAGTAATTCTGCTTTTCAAATAAAAAAATAAATATTTTAGAAAAAAGCTATTGTGTACCATGATCTTCATTAATTATTTTGAAGAGGTTTTTACATAATACTTTTAATTATAAAATGAGGTAATTTTAATAACAAAGTAAATATGTGGGTCTCTACTCCTCATAGTTCCTGTTGGACCACTTGGCTTAAAATTCCAATCCAAACTTTGAGTAACTGCATAATAATATAATATTAACATAGTTCCTTTAAGCTACAGATGTTCAATCTGTATAATGGAGGTTAAATGAGGTTATATAAAATATTATTTTCACATTGTCTAGCATAAGCTTAGTTAGTTTTCAATATTTATTGCCAAGGTAATTCAAAAGTATGCTTTTTGATTAGATTTTAGTCTTTGGAGTTACTTGAAACTGCTTCTACCTGTCCTCTTTAATCAATCTCAGGAAATATAAGCAAGAGAGTAATTTAACAAACACATATGGTAATCAGAAAATCCATCACCTGACATTCTGAATACACATATATAATAGAATCTTATTGCTTACAAATATGAAAGTGCTCATTGCATTATTGACTCTTAATGTCCCGGAACATCCATAAAGCCTGCATTGCATACCAAAAAATAAATAAAGAAAAAAGAAAGAAAAAAGAAATTAAATACAAGTTAAAGAAGAAATTGGTTTACTAAAAGGTGTGACAGTATGTAATGTTCTTTCTGTTATAGATCAGTAAATAATGTTCTAAATAGAGTGCCTCTAATATGTGAATTTATTTCATCTCATTAGGTAAACATGATAGTACAAAAGCAGTGTTCAGAAATAAAATCAGGAGGTTACTTGGTGATTTTCCTCTGCTTCTGACTGAACAGATAGACGAAATATATCATGGGTTCCACTGTGCAAATCTTTCTGTTTTTCAACAAAATGCTTTTAGAAAAAACTTCTCCAGAGATGGTTATGAGTGACATCTACCAGTGGGTGAGCAGCAACCTCTTCACTATATAAAGTCCCTGTAAATGGAAGGCATTTGCCTCAGGAAAAGAAGTGAAAAACTGAAAGTGTACTGCACATTGTGCCATCACCTTGTGGAAACCTAAATTTAGATAAAACTACCTCAAGGACGTAAATTTATTTCACAGCATTAGGCATTAACTAATTACTTAAGGTAAACCATCTTAGAATGGGCCAAAAATCCACAGACACCTAGTTACTTCTGATAGATGGCCAGTGTACTTCACCTGATTCCAATCTTCCCTTATTTCTAAGATTTGTGTTGTTTACAAATTGATAAGACTGAGTTGGGATGTGTTTATGTGTGTGAGTGTGTACTCACACAACTATTTGAGGGCTTTTTTTTTGCTTTTAACAATTGTAATAGTTTAAAAATAAATTTGGTTTATTATAATTTTTTTCTTACTAAAAACACCTGGACTGGACTATTTCTCACGAGAGATTTATCTTTAAACAGCATTATGAATATTATAAAACACATGTACTTTTCTCAGACCTATAAAAGCTTTTTGTTATAAAAATAAAATGAGGATTATTAATAGGTGCAACAATAAAAGAATGAACTACGGAACAGGTTTTTTTTTTTTTTTTTTTCATGTAATCCCATTTTAAGTAACAGTGCTAGAATCAAAATGAAGAACATAAGCAGGAAAGCTTGTGATATTTACTAATGAATAAGCTTCAGCCAAAGCACAATCATTTTTATATTAAAATATGGATCTCTCTGATAGGTGTTCCCAACTCAGCCCTGATAAAAATGCTAGAATAAAATATAATGGAATCTGTGTTATTGCCCCATTGTAATCCATTGTAATCCGGTGTCTTGGGGAAAGTATCCTTCATAACAAATATAACACAGGGGCCCAAGACAATCTTTAAAAAAAAAGAAAAAGAATCAGAAAAAAAGCAACCAGCAGATGGATGATCTCTCTCCTTCTCTCTCTCCCTTTCTCACTCTCTCTCTAACTCTGCCTTTCAAGTGGATAAATATTTTTTAAAAAACCCACACAATTCCATATCAAAGGAAAATAATCAAAAATTAGACTTTATTAATAAATCATATTACAAAATACTTTGTTGGGAGAATGAAAGACTAGCTAGAGTCTAGATGAAAATCTTGTAGAATATACATTCAACAAATATTTCATATATATTTTTACTCCCAAAATTAAAACCTCAACCTTGTTAAAAACCAAATGATTCAATTAAAAATGGGCAAAAGCCCAAAAGACTAAGTTTACTTAAAAGGATATTTGGATTTCAATAGACTTATGAAAATATGCTCAGTATTACTATGCATTAAAAACTTAAAATTTCTGAATGTGAGCCATTCTAACTGGGGTGAGCTGGAACCTCATTGTGGTTTTGATTTGCATTTCCCTGATTGCTAGTGATCTTGAACATTTTTTCATGTGCCTGTTGGACATTTGGATTTCCTCTTTTGAAAAATGTCTATTGAGGTCCTTGGCCCATCTCTTAAGTGGGTTGTTTGTTTTGATCTTGTGGAGTTGCTTGATTTCTTTGTAGATTCTGGTTATTAACCCTTTATCAGTTGCATAGTTTGCAAATATATTTTCCCATTCTGTCGGTTGTCTCTTCACTTTCCTGACTGTTTCTTTTGCAGTACAGAAACTTCTCAATTTGATGCAATCCCAAATGTTAATTTTGGCTTTGACTGCCTGTGCTTCTGGGGTGTTTTCCAAGAAGTCATTGCCAGTACCTATATCTTGAAGGGTTTTTCCAATGCTCTCTAATAATTTGATGGTGTCAGGTCGTAGATTTAAGTCTTTAATCCATGTTGAGTGGATTTTTGTGTAAGGTGAAATGTAGGGGTCTTGCTTCATGATTCTGCATGTGGAAATCCAATTATCCCAGCACCATTTATTGAATAGACTGTCCTTACTCCAGGGATTGGTTTTGGATCCTTGATCAAATATGAGTTGGCTGTAGATGTTTGAATTGATTTCTGGTGTTTCAATTCTGTTCCATTGGTCTATCCATCTGTTTCTGTACCAGTACCATGCTGTTTTGATTACAACTGCCCTGTAGTATGTCCTGAAATCTGGTATTGTGATGCCTCCAACTTTGTTTTTGTTGTACAAGATTGCTTTAGCTATTCGAGGTCTCCTGTGTCTCCATATGAATTTCAGCACCATTTTTTCCAGATCTGAGAAGAAGGTCTTTGGTATCTTGATTGGTATTGCATTGAATCTATAAATTGCTTTTGGGAGAATGGACATTTTGATGATATTGATTCTTCCAATCCATGAGCATGGAAGATTTCTCCATTTCTTGGTATCCTCTTCTATTTCTTTCTTTAAGGTTTTGTAATTTTCATTGTAGAGATCTTGAACGTCCTTGGTTAAGTTTATTCCAAGGTATTTGTTTTTGTAGCTATTGTAAATGGGACTGATCTTAGAAGTTCTTCCTCAGCCATGGCATTGTCTGTGTATACAAAGGCTGTTGATTTTTGTGCATTGATTTTATACCCTGCTACTTTGCGAACTGTTGAAATCTTTACTTAATGTATGCTAAACTTATCTTCTGTATATAAAGAGAATCGAAAAGGAATCTTGATGTGAATGGAAGGGGAGAGGGAGTGGATAAGGGGAGGGTTGCGGGTTGGAGGGATGTTATGGGGGGGAAGCCATTTTAATCCATATTCTGTACTTTGGAAATTTATATTCATTAAATAAAAGTTAAAAAAAACTTAAAATTAAGAATAGCTAAATTTCCATTTAAAAAGCAAAAAAAGGCAAAAATGCAAAAGAACCTGGAGACAATATCATATTCTTTATGGTGTGATATCAGCATCCCATATGGGAGCACTAGTCCCATTCCGGCTGCTCTCCTTCTGATCCAGCTTCCTGCTAACGTACCTAGGAAGGCAGCAGAAGATGCCCCAAAAGCCCAGACAACCACTTGGGAGACCAGGATGGATTTCCTGGCTGCTGGCTCCAGCCTGGCCCAGCCCCAACTGTTGTGAACATTTGAAAATGGAACTGGCTTTGAGAGATGCGTGTCTCTCTCCCTTTCTTTGTCACTCTTTCAAATGAATAAATAAATAAATCATTTAAAAATGAATGTAAAAAAATAGATCTCTTGAACATTAGCAATGGAACAATAAAGTGAAACAGCCAGTCTGAAAAACATTTGAAAGCTTTTTCAAACACAAAACATACAAGAAATCTTCAAAAATATCTGCTAATATATCTGGGAAAGCAGCAGAAGACGACCCAAGTGGTTGGGCTCCTACCTTCCAAGAGGAAGACCAGATTGAAGCTCCTGGTTTCTGGCTTCAGCCTGGCCCCAGTCCTGGCAGTTGCCATCATTGAGGAGTAAACCAATGGAAGGGAGAGCTCTCTATCTCCCTCTTTCCCTCCCTCCCTCTCCCTCTTTCCCCTCTCACTCCTCTCTTGTTCTATCAATCTCTCCCCTCCATAACTCTTTCAAATAAACAAATAAATCTTTTCTTTAAAAAAAAGATAATAGATATCATGTACACCTTTCACTTGTTTCCCAACAAAATGTCATGAATAATTACAGTCTAAGTCACAACAAAGAAATTGACATTGCTATAAACCAAAAAACTAGTGTTCATGTACAATGCATTTTATGAAATATTGTGCTGTATCATATGAAGTGCAGCAGTGGGGACAGAAACCAGTGCCCTTAGGGGATGAGGGATTTGCAGGTGGCAGTTTAACCTACTGCACCACAGTGCTAGCCCCTACATGTTATCTATTATTTTTTACAACAGCCATTCATGAAAGTCATTTTGATCTAGATTTTTAAAAAATGTAACACAGCATTTTATAAGTTACAGTCAGCATACCTATTAATATATTTTCATTTGCCTTTGCAAGTGATACTATATTTTTAAACAATTACTCCTAAGTTTTAAGGTAAATGAAATATGTTTAAATACAAAAACATCTTAAAATAAATTATCACATCTGCTTTTGATTAACAATTTTCTAGTATAGATGAATATTTTTCCAACTGTTCTTTCTACCTAACCATATTGTACTATATTTCCCACCAGTGTATTTATGTATACTGTGAGACTCAACTTTCATTGCATAGTGTTAAATGATACAATTTAGCACAGCAATCTGGAATTTCATAAATGTGTCAAAATATTAGATTCCTATGCATAATAACATTTTTAGTATTTGCAGGATTTTCATTTTCAAATATATGTAGAGACAAAATGATATTTTTTCAAGTTCTGAAAATCGAATATACATTTGTAAGTTATCTGATACATGTGAGTACTCTGAAATTTTAATGAACAGTAGATATTTCAATACCGAAATGAATATTAGAAATATTCAATAGAAACTGTCAAATTAAGGGTATGCATTTGGTGTAGCAGTTAAAAATAGCACTTGGGATGCTCACATTCTAAATTGAAGTACCAGGATTAAGGTCCCAGCTCCTTTTCTAGTTCCAACTTCCTGTTAATATGCACCATGGAGGTAGTAGGTGATGGCTTATTAGTCGGGTCCTGAAACATGCTTTTGGACCCTAGTTTAAATCATAGGCTCTTGGCTTGAAACTGGTCCAACCCTAGTTATTGTTGGCATTTGGGGACAGAATTAGCAGATATGAAATCACTCTCCCACTCTCTCTCTCTCTAGCTTTCAAGTTAATTAATTAATTAAAATTGATTAATTTTATACAAAGGAAAAGAAAAAAAGAAACTATCAAATTATTAGGGGACAGGTCTGGCGCTGTAGCATAGCATCCCAAATGGGCACCCATTTAGGTCCCAGTTGCTTCACTTCTGATCCAGCTCCTTGCTAATGAACAAGGGAAAGCAGTGCAAGATGGCCCAAGCCCGGGGGCTCCTGCACTCACATGCGAGACCTGGGAGAAGCTCCTGGATCCTGACTTCGGATCAGCCAAGCTCCAGCCATTGCAGCCATTTTGGGAGGGAACCAGCAAATGGAAGATTGTTCTCTCTCTTTCTGTCTCTCTGTCTCTCCCTCTCTGTAACTCTGCCTTTCAAGTAAGTAAGTAAGTAAATAAATAAATGTTTTAAAAAATTATCAGGGATCATGTCTACCCTGAAGCTTTTAAGAAACTCCAATTAAGAAAGTTTCACTTTCTATTTGCTATTCTGGTACACACACACACACACAAACATGAGGATCCTTAAATTAAAGGAAATTATATATTTTGAATTCTGGGAGCATAGAACTACCTAGTGTAAACCTTTATTATTTAGTAGAGAATTTGTTTCTCTCCAAGAAGAACATGGGATGCTAACCAATACTGTGCTTTGATCTACCATGTATTGTCAGTTTTTTTCAGTTACATAGAACAGAAAAGCCAAATAAGCCAACTTAAGAAATAAAGATTTATTTTCTCATTCTACCAAAAAATGCTAGAGGTAGTTCAAAAAACAGATGTGATTTGATATGGGATCTGGATTTATTTTCCTCTTGTTATTGTCTGAATGACGTGTTTCATTACTATGGCAGTGTCTGCTCCTGCACCTATCTGAGTGTCAGCTTCATGTGGATCCCTCATGGCTGAAGAGCTCTGGAGAGAACATCAGTGCTCACTGTCACAAAAAGAGCTCCAAAGATTTGTACTAGTTGATTAACTACTCATTCAATACCTTCTACCAGAGCAATGAAATGCTGGATATTTTGTATCTTTCCTCAGAGGGACAACTTGAATCATTAGGAAAAATTATTGGCAGAATATGGTTGCAGTTTGACAGTTATAAACCTTCAGTAACTGCTTGGATATTTATCCACTTAGAATTGAGAAAATATAGATGAGAAAGTAAAAGTAAAATAATGCAATTGAAAATACTGTGTATCTCAGTGCTGGTGCTGTCAGAATCTCATGAAGAACTTGTTATTTTTGTTTATGAATATTTGATAATTTATTTGACACATTGACAGTACAGTGAGACTGACAGAGTAGATGAAAAGTGAAACTGGCAGAAAGTAAAAAAATGCTTAACTAATCAGAGAAACAAAAATAAACACAAATTTCAGCAAGAAATGATACTCTCTTGACTACCTCCCTATGATATTCATGCACTAAAAAGTTACAATAACAATATTTTTGGAATAGACACAGAAATAAAAATGGTTTTATAATTCTTCATGTAAACCATTTAGATAATCAATTATATTAGAAACTATCATGGAAGTAGAGCTGGCTTAAGAACTGAATATTTCTTTTTTGCAAATGAGAAACATAAAAAATATAAAGTACAAAACATCATTCAAAGCAGGGTTAAGGGGGTTGCTAATTGATGCAGTAATTAATATGCTACTTGTGACATTTGAAATCCATAGCAGAATGGCTGAGTTCAAGTCCTAATTCTACTTCTGATCCAGCTTCCTGCTAATGAGCACCCTTGGAGACAGCTGGTGCTGGCTCAAGTACCTGGATCCCGCCATCTTCCACGGAAAGCTGGGTGGAATTCCCGGCTCCTCACTTCAGTCTGCCCAACCCTGGCTGAAGTAGGCATTTGTGGAATAAAACAACCTGTGGAATATCTCTCTCTGTCTCTCTCTCTCCCTGGCTCAGTCTTTCTGTTTTCATATAAAATGAAAACAAACAGAAAGTTTTTAATAACTGGGGATAAGGTGGTAAGTCTAGATACGAGGTATTAATTTTGGGGGGTTAAAGATAAAATAAGAATGAATATCTGGGATGTCTGAGCTCAAAAGAGATAGAGA